ATACCTACACACCATTCACTATACACACACACACACTACACTCACACAAACACTCAGTGCACAAATTATATACACACACACACACTGCATCCACTGTGGCATGTATATTTTGTGCATTTACCTCTAGAAATAGTTTATTTTTTTTCCAAAATGGTAAATGTACAGAATATCGGTAAGTTATCGGCTATCGGCCTGAAAGTTCACAGATTATCGGTATTGGTTTTGGCTCAAAAAACAAAACAAAAAAAAAACAATCAATATCGGTCGATCCCTACCGGAAATACACAATATATTTAATGAACATGAATCAAAAGGAGGTTTACATATAGCATGTATCAATGGGAAGGGCAGGGGAGAAAAACATCTCTTATCTGACTTGTACAGCAAAAATTGTATACGGTTTCATATCACATGAGCAGATATTGGTAAAATCTGGTTCTGTGTTGCAGAACTTTGAGAGTGTAATCTCTCCATTTCAAATGGGTTTAGTTGCTTCTTACCCCTCCAGCGTAGGCACACCTTCATGCCTTCCTGCAGTTCGCCTTGTGCTCAGCCTAGCACGTGGCTGTCTAGCACTATATCTTTGTCGTGATTGTTGCTCTCTCCTACTCTCCCCTTCACGAGTCTCCTCGGTTTGAGCAGTTGAGCTAAAGATAGGGAAGTCAAGGCCTTCATTGAAAATTCCAAATGTAACTTGGCCATAACCGGATGGCAAAGTGAATCGTGTGGATTCTAGACCCTTAAGGAAGCAGAAAGTGAATGAGAAAATGTGGGTTATTAACCCGTTAAAGACAGAGGCAATAGTACAGGTTCTGATAAAAACAAACGCAAGAATTTGACTTGGTCTGTTCAACCATAATTTACCTCTTTCATATTCGGTGCACCTGTACTTATATATAATTTTGCTCAGTAGAAACAGGGGTTTCATTTCATATCAAATATTTATACAGTATATGAAACAATTTTATAGGAATACAAACGAAAAAAGTTTGAGAAATTAAACAATTGTATTTTTTTAGTTCTGCGTGGCATTTTAACTGTACATTAGCTTTTACTGTAATAAATTACACGTATTTGAGTTCAGCGATGTCTGGCGAGTACAAGAGTAACCCCATGTACAGGTTTTATGGTGTATGGAAAAGTTACAGGGGTAAATATAGCACGTTCCCCTTTCCAGTTTTTACATGTTGAATGTTGCCAGATTTTGAGACCGTATGGCAGCCCAGGCATGAAAATTACCTGATCATGGCATTCCATTTGGAAAGTACACACCCCAGGTCATTCAAAATGGGGTTTGTCCAGTACTTCCAGTTAACCACTTAGTCACAAACACTGGCCCAAGTTGGCATTCATATTTTTTTGCATTGTTTTACACAAAACTGTCCTTTCACGCATGACATAATCAGCATTATTTGTTTTAGTGCTCTAAAATACTTCTATTTGTGCTCTGTAATTTCTCACAAGTACAACAGTACCCCCCACCCCCTCTCCCATGTCCAGGTTTTATAGTGTTTTGGAAACTAGGGTCAAATATAAGGCTTGCCCATTTCCATTTATGCTCATTGAATTTAGCCAGATTGGTTGTGTTGCATTTGAAACTGTATGATAGCCCAGGAATGAGAATTCCCCCCACCATCATGGCATACCATTTGAAAAAGTGGACAACCCAGGGAATGTCCTTTCTTTTTTAGTAGCCACTTAGTCACAAACCCTGGCGTTTTTTGCATTTTTTACACAAAACTGCATGTTTATGAATTATATCACAGTCATGATGTGTTTTGGAACACTCATATTTGTGTTCAGCGAAGTCTCCCGAGTATAACCGTAGCACCTATGAACAGGTTTTATGGGTGTTATGGAATGTTACACGGTTAAATAGAGGACTTGAAAATTTAATTCTCTGGACTGTCTGCCTGGGTTGTCAGGCAGGTCCCTCAAATTCTAATTAGTAAAAATCAGGTAATTATGTTAAATAAATTACATATACACTAAGAATTTAAATATATTTAAAGTCAACGTGTATGTAGTTATTTATGTATATCTATATACGTATATAGATCTGTATAAAATTTCATTCTAAGTGTATTTTGATAGGAATATATATTGAGAAAGTGAGCGAGCCCAGGTAATCCCCCTGCATGCAGATCCATAGCTGTTATTGTGGCCATGCGATTGCTCTGTGAGACTGCATGGCCAGTGGGGTCTGGTCCAGCAGGGAGGGAACCGACTGGGCCGCCCCCCACTGCAGCGGAGGAGAGTATAGGAAGGCTTTCTAGTCTGAAAGCCATTACGGCGTTACACGCCACTGCAACGACTTTAACCCCTTAAGGGCCGAGGACGGTTCAGGACAGTCATCTGCATTTTTCCATTGCACCTGGTGACGGTTCTGAACCGTCCTAACGATCGTTCCCCCGGCGGTGATCGGCGTTGCTCCCGGTGTGGGGAGACTGCCTGCAGCCCAGGCAGTCTCCCCATGGCAGATTAGGATCCCTGGGGCCATGTGATCGCTCAACAGAGTGATCACATGGTCACAATAGGTGTCCATGTGTCTGTCTGGAGGAGGACTGTCTGTGCTGACAGGCAGTCTCCCCGCTAGTGTAAAATCATAAAAGAAATTAAAAATAAATAACTGTTAATAAAAAAAATGTGTGTATGTATATATATATATATATATATATATATATATATATATATATATGTCATACTAAGTGTATTTTTTATATTAATATGTACATATATTAATATAAAAATACACTTATAATTACATTACACACGTATATATAATATATATATTATAAAATACAAATAAGTAATTTAAATTAAATAAAAAATGTAAAATAATTATAAAAAATTATATATCTATATGAAATTTTATTCTAAGTGTATTTTGAGATATAGATATCTATCTCTCTCTCCAAATTCTGGCACTCTACCCAAAAGTTATGTAATGATATTCAAAAGGTCACCAGGGTATATTTAAAAAAGAATATATATAAAAGAACAATGAAAAAAATTTTAATTATAAAAAGGCAACAAAGGACAGTTTTTCATTTAGTCCATTTGGAGCTAGAGTTCCCAGTTTCTTGATCCACCATATCTATCTATATCTCTCAAAATACACTTAGAATGAAATTATATATATATATATATATATATATATATATATATATATATATATATATATATATATATATATATATATATATATATATATATATATATATACACACGAAATATACATACGAAATATACATATGTCCATATACAAAATTACATAAATAATTATATATACACGTAGACTTCAAATATATAAATATGCTTATATATTTAAATTCTATGTGCGTATTTATGTAATATTTTTACCTAATTAAGTAATTTTATTGATTGCAATTTGAGGCACCTGCCTGCCAACCCAGGCCGAAAGTCCAGAGAATTGAATTTGCTAGTACTGTATTTTACCCTGTAATGTTCTACGACACCCTAAAACCTATACATGGGGTAGGGATCGACCGATTATCGGTCTGGCCGATATTATCGGCCGATATTTGGTATTTTCGGCAATATCGGTATCGGCCAATTCAGATACCGATATTGCCGATAATATATAACAGGACCGCCGTGCCCATTACAAGCCCGGCGGTCCTGTGGGGGCCAGCCGCAAGCGCTGACTTACCTTGCATGCAGCTCCCTGTGTAAATCTCGCGAGACCCGCGGCCGCAGAGCGTTGCCACGGGTTACCATGGCAACGCTCCGCGCGGCACTAAGAGCCGCGAGATTTACACAGGGAGCTGTAGGAGCTGCTTGCAAGGTAAGTCAGCGCTTGCTGCTGCTGAGCCACCACTGTACTTAACAAGCCACTGGACCACTAGGGGATACTATATCCCCCTCCCTGGTAAAAAGCAGGGAGGGGGGGCTAAACAAAAAAACCCAAACATTTAAATATTAAAAAAAATATTAAAATAAAAAATTACACAAATTACATCACTACACAAACACACACACACTACACAAACACACATACTGCATTACATACACACACACTGCATTACATACACACTACACAGGCACACACACTGCATTACATACACACACTACACAGACAGACACACTACACACACACCACAAACACACACTGCATTACAGACACACACTACACTGCACACACACTGCATTACATACACACTACACACAGTACACATACTGCATTACATACACACACTGCATTACATACACTACACATACACACTACACAAACACACACTACACAAACACACACTGCAATACATACATACACACTACACAAACACACAAACTGCATTACATACACACAAAAACACACTGCATTATACACACACTACATAAACACACTGCATTATATACACACTACACACACTGCATTATATACACACTACATTCATTATACACACACTACACAAACACACACCCTGCATCCACTACACACACACACACACACTACACAAACACACACAGTTCCCCTGTCTAAACACACTTCATCCACTACATGTGGCATGTATATTTTGTGCATTTACCTTTCGAATTAGTTTATTTATTCAAAATAGTAAATGTACAGAATATCGGCAAGATATCGGCCTGAAAGTTCGCAGATTATCGGTATCGGTATCGGCTCTAAAAAATCAATATCGGTCGATCCCTAACATGGGGGGTACTATTTTACTCAGGAGACTTCGCTGAACACAAATATTAGTGATTCAAAACAGTAAAACATATCACAGCGATGATATTGTCAGTGAAAGTGACTTTTTTTGCATATTTCACACACAAACAGCATTTTTACTGATGATATAATTGTTGTGAAATGTTTTCCAGTTTTGAAACACTTAGATTTGTGTTCAGCAAAGTCTCCCGAGTATAACAGTACCCCCATGTACAGGTTTTATAGCTTTTTGAAAGTTACAGGGTCAAAAAATTTTATATTGAAAATGGCCAGGTTGGTTACGTTGCCTTTGAGAACGTATGGTAGCCCAGGAATGAGAATTACCCACACGATGGCATACCATTTGCAAAAGAAGACAAACCAAGGTATTGCAAATGGGGTATGTCCAGTCTTTTTTAGTAACCACTTAGTCACAAACACTTTTTTCACACACAAACAAATATGAACGCTAACTTTGACCAGTGTTTGGCTACTAAAAAAGTCTGGACATATTGAATACCCTGGGTTGTCTACTTTCATTTTATATATATATATATATATATATATATGTACGTACATGGTGGGTGTTATTCAGAGATTTATGACAGTTGATAGTGTTACAATGTCACTATTGATACATTTTAAAAAATGTATGTTTTGAAACCACAAATGCATGTAAACACTGGGTATTTTTAAACTCAGGATAACATTTTTAATCTATTTAGCAGTTTTTTTCATTCGCTTTTGTAGATGAGTAAAAGATTTTTTTAATTAACAGTCAAAAACATGTATTTTTTTTTCAATTTTTCATATTTACTCATTTATTTTTTTTAATTAAATTACATGAGATTATATAAATAATGGTATGTAAAGAAAGACCCTTTTGTCCTGAAAAAAAAAATATATATAATTTGTATGGGAACAGTAAATGAGAGAGCGGAAAATTACAGCTAAACACAAACACCATAAAAGTGTAAAAAGATGCCTGGTCGCAAATGTACAACATCGCAAAACCAGTCCGGTCCTTAAGGGGTTAAAGATAATTTAAATGTGGACAGCATGGAACGCCTTAACAATGTTAAAGGGTTAATAATTTATTGTAAGATAAACAAATCATAAAAGGCAAACAGGTTGCCAAGTGCAAAGTTCAGTTTCCTCACCTCAAAAGGATCTCTGTTTTGTTCTGTTCCAGTGGAGCTGGTATTATTCTCTGAGTTCCTATAAAGAAGAAAGGGAGGGAATGAAAAAAAAATAAAAAAAATAAAACTTGTTTAGTAGATAATCTCTCTACTGAACAGGATTAGCTAGCTCGCAGTAGCTGCAGATCTACTTCCCCTTTCTGTCTCCTCTAGGAGCAGATGCAGATTAGGGCAGTGCATGCACAATAGACTTCCAATGTTTTCCTATGGGATAGCATTGGATTGGTTGAGATCACAGCCATAGAGGTGGGTCAGCCGCAGCACAACAAGTGCAGAATGGAGAAAAGGTAAATTTAAATACCTTTTAACCCTATTCTGAGGGTGGCCGTAAGCCAAACATGTACTTCCTAACACTATAGTGTTCCTTTAAAAGAGCTTAATTGCAGAACTTCAATAGGAAATATTTTAGAGACTTAACCCCTTAACGACAAGGGGATTGCCATAACAACGGTTACAATTAACGGTGCTCCGGTCTGCCTCTGTATTAGAGGCAGACCGGGAGCACCCGATCTGGCTGCCCCAGCACATGTGCTGCATATACTCACCTTCCGTCTCCCTGCACTTCCTGGTTCTGTGTGAAGTGCAGGGAGCCGGATCAGTGCTGATCCTGCCCCTGTTAAATAAATAAATAAATAAATAAACTTTATTTAAAATCCCACCCCCCTTTACTCATTTAAATTAAAAATTAACCCCTTCCCTGTCAATTGATCACTGACTACAGTGATTGGCAGGGATTACATTTTACTGTCATCTGATTTTTTTAACCCCTGAGGGTTAATTTTTTTTTTTTACCCTCAGGGGTTAAATTTATTTAATAAAAATTATATATTTAGCTAGCTGGGGTGGGTGGAAGTTAGTGGGGAATTGGAGGATTTGGTGTTAGGCTAACTAGGGGTTAACGTTAAAAAAGTTAAAAATTAAGCTAAAAAAAAAAAAAACCATCCCCTTTACCCAGTCCAAATAAAAATTAACCCCTTCCCTGCCAGTCGAACACTGCCTACAGTGATCAAAATATAGATCACAGTATTATACTGTAATCTAATTTTTTTTTTTAACCCTTGAGGATTAATTTATTTTTTAACCCTCAGGGGTTCAATTAAATTTTTTAATTATATATTTTGCTAGCTTTGGTGGGTGGGAGTTATGGGAAAATTGGGAATTTACTGTTAGTGCTGCTTACTGCTAGTTAGGGATTAACGGGAAAAAAAAAAAGCTTAGAAAAATGTTAAATCTGTAAAAAAAAGTTAAGAAAGTTTAAAAAAATTAATACGCAAAACAAAAGTTTAAAAACTAATTTTTAAAAGTAAAAAAAAGTTTAAAAAAGTAAAAAATACACATTTAAAAACGCTCATTACCACTACACCTGGAACAAACTAGAGAAAAAATGATCCCACGCTAAGGTTCAAAATATGCCTTTTGAATTACCCCAGGGTGTATTCTTTAATAAGTAGTATGTGTTTGTGGAGAAGTTTCAATAACCAACCATTTAAACTACTCCAAATTGGAACATGGACACAGCGTAAAACTTCAAAGTTAGAAAAAAAACTGAACAGCTGCGTCTCAAATGCGCCCCTTCAATGTCCACATATACCTATATTATACAGACTGACTGTTATTTACATCAATTATTTAGGTAAATGAGAAAAATATCATTTGCATAATAATTTGGAACAGGGTGTAGTGGTGGTCTTCCTGACTGCCTCTAGAGGTGCCTCCTCTACTATAACACAGTTAAACTCTGATACAGATTAAACGGTGGTATTGCTGTACTCAGACAACATAGCTGAGCAACATATGAAGTATTATACAGTCGTAGCACACATAAGGTTTGAAAAATATACTGTGCAAACTCACTTTATGTGTCAAAAAGGCAGATTTTTTTTTTACCACCACTACACTTGGTACAAGTTAGCGGCAAAATGATCCCACGCTAAGGTTCAAAATATACCTTTCGAAATACCCTGGGGTGTCTACTTTAAGAAATGGTAGGCCTTTGTGGGGTAGTTTGAATTTAAACCCTGATAAGATGCTTGGAAATTGCACATAGGCCCAGCGTCAAAATTCAATGTTCGGTAAAAACTGATATGGCTTGGTCTCCTAAATGGCACTGTAGCTTCACGAAATAGTGCCAAAGACATTCATTGGGGGTGTCTTTTTACTCAGAAGACTTAGCCAAGCATAATTTGGAGGGTTTGAACTTAGTGGCACATATGAAATATACAAAATGCCCAGCAAAAATGCAATCCATATGTAAAAAACGCACAAAATTATTTTTTTATCACATACTTTAGCATATATTGGTGAAAAAATGGGGACAAGTTAAGGCACAATATACACCTTATGAGATACCCTGGAGTGTCTGCTTTTACAAATGGTAAGCCTTTGTGGGGTTTTTCTTTTGAACAGTTAAACTGGTATAATACCCCAAATGGAAGCATAGGCTCATTAAATCCGTCTCTCAAAATTCTACTGTGAATACTGAAAAGAACAGGCCTCCCTAGCTTCACGAAATAGTGCCAAAGACATACAATAGGGGTGTAATTTTACTCAGCAGATGTAACTGAACACAAAATAAAACTTTGTACAGGAATAGCACACACTAACTTTACAAAATACACATGAGAAGTTCTTTGTTATAAGTTTGTGTGCCAAAAACAAAAACAAAAAAACCCACAATTTTACTCCAATATTTAGCAGAGGTTGGTGGTGAAATGGCTACGTAGAATGTGTCAAAACAACCCTAGGTAAATAGCCTGTGATGTCTACTTTATAGAAATATATACTTTTGTGTGGCAATTTTGTTTTCTTTTATGGCTATTAAGCTTACAAGACAAACATACCAAATTCTAAAATCGCTCCACATTAAACGCTTATTTTACTCCTTGTGCTTTGTGACCTGTAACTACCAAAAAAAACCTTAAAATCCCAGACGCATATATTCTGTAAATCAGAACAACTTAATTTATTTTTAATTCCTTTCCTTAACCTGCACTAATTATGCACACATTATTGCAAAAACTAAAAAAAAATTTCTTTGCATTTTTCTGTATTTTTTTATAATAAATAAGCATTTATATATATATGTGTGTTACATTAAATTAAAGCCCTTTCTGTGCTTTAAAAAAACTATATATAATATGTGTTGGTGCAATAAAGTAGTAAAATGCAGATTGCAGTTGAACGCATAAAGCAAAAAATGAAAAAATGCTGTCATTAAGTGAAAGACAAGCTTCTGAAGCTCTGTCCTCAAGAAGTTAAATTAAAACATCAAAATAACCTTGATTTCCTTTTTTTAATTCTTTGTTTTTGATGTGTGTGTTACAACAAGGATGATGTCATATACATTCAAGTTATCGTGGGATTAAACTTAAACATCAAATAATGTATAAAAATAATACGACAAAAAGATATATAGTGCTAGGATTGTAGAGAGAAAAATTATAAAGCTGAGAATAGGCACTGAAGTGACATGCAACTGTATGTAAGGTTGGAGGAGTGAGACAAGTAGATTAATAGACAATTCAGATAAAGATTACAGAAGTCATCCCCATATTAAATGACATGCAGGGTGATAATGCACCACCCCCCACTAGGCCCGGATACAGCCTTGTTCCCGGCCTCCCCATCAATTTAACCAGCAGACCCCCAGTGGCTGAACTCTCGTGGGTTGTCGGTAGGCGAGTGGCTGCGATGTGGTGACTGTGGGCTCCGTTGCCTCTCCGCCAGACGTGACAGAAAAGCTGCAAATATAGCCTAGGGTTGCCATTTTTTTTTGAAAAAATAAAATAAAATACCGGACATGCTAATTTGCATTATTAATATGTGCATAATGTATGCGTGTCATCACAAGACACAACGTACATAATATTTGAAAGGAAAAAAATTCCTTTAATAAACTACTTACAATGTGTTTACTTCGTCTGGCTGTGTGTATAGTATTGAGTATGTGAATATATTGTCTGAATGAGAGTGTATAGTGGCGTATGTATAGCAATGTGTCGTCTAAATGTGCATAACTCTATGTGCATACTGTTGTGTGAGCATATCAGAGTCTGTATACTGTGAGTGTGTCTCTCTTACGGTGTGTATATAGTGTATAACAATGCGTGCACAAGTCCCTTATTAACAGAGATGGATATTCTGGATCTATTTCTCTCACCATTCTCCCATCAGACTTCTGCATACACACACAGAGAACAGTGTCAGAACTCCTGCTGCCATGCTTCCATGATGCTTCCATCTTCTTGTCCTGTAGTTCCTGCTCCTCCCACGTGGATTTGATTCTGCAATACCGACACCAGCCACATAGCATCAAATACTGGCTGTGCCAGGTGGCAACCCTAATATAGCCTCTAGCTTATACAGTGTAGACTGTGGTTGAGCCATGTTACTCGCCTTCTCCACCAGCAGGGGTAGGTGCCTGAGATCGATGGAGTGTACTCTTGGGACTAGGATAACCCACATCGGCCCAGAAGGGAGTGGGACAAGGGCTCAGATTTGGAGGTTTCAGACATCTTTGGCAGAAGGAGAGCAACTGCTTTCCGCACGCCAGGCATGCTTGTAGGCCACATTTTCTGGCAATTTTTGCAGTAAAAGCAGCTTAACTTGTATCTCAATTGACACCAACTTATCCCCTCTCACGGTGTAGTTGGCTTGTATCCGCAAATATTAAGCAATATTCGCTGTAAGATGCAGGAGCCGCTGAAAGTCACTGTGCTGTGCGGGCAGTTGCCACCTCCATTTTCCTTCTTTTCAAGCTTTCGAGCTTCATATTTGTGGGAAATTGCTGCAGACCATGCAAGACTAAAAACTACAAAGAGAACTTTAATTTCCACTTGTTTCCAGGGGGTGGTGACAATCTACCCCAGAAAAGGTGGTGTAGCTTTTAAGATATGTTTAAGATGGGAAAACATAAAAAGACAGGGTTATCATATTCTACTAAGAGACACCCTAGTGCCTCTAGAACACAGTATGATTTAATGGATGGACACCCTAGTGCCCCTAGAACACAGCATGATTTAATGGATGGAATATTTCTAAAAAGCCAATGTAGTTTTTAGTAAAATGGCCATGACACACACACAAAAAAAAATTAATAAAGACTCACGTGTGCCTTGGTTCAGGGAGCTCCTCAATGAATCCTGACTCGCACCGAGGGCACGTGTATTCCTGTATATTTAAAAAAAAAAAAAAAAAAAAAATATAATTTTATATATATAAAATATTAGAAACTTGATCATATATTTAATATTGTTGTCAAGTAGTTACTCTTGGTTTCTATGCTACTAATACATAATATGAATTGTCAGAGGGTAGCATAGAAATCAAGAGTAACTACTTGACAACAATTCCATCTGGATGTTTTTATAATATATATTTTAAAAAGCTGTTTATCTGTAAATATCTCCCTAAATCTACACCTGTGGAGTTAATACAATCCTACACGCAAAACCTCAGGTTTATGGTCACATGATATTGAAGAATAAAATGCTTATCCCCTCCTAAACTAGAAACATAGCAGAAACAGTACAATTTGTTGTGGAAGCTTCAACTGCAGTACCAAAAAGACATTGTGTAGATTGTTCCAGCTAGCAAGCTTTTAAGTAGGTAAAAGTAGGTTCTTTCACAACATATAATTAAAGGACCACTATAGTGCCAGGAAAACATACTCGTTTTCCTGGCACTATAGTGCCCTGAGGGTGCCCCCACCCTCAGGGACCCCCTCCCGCCCGGCTCTGGAAGGGGGAAAGGGGTTTAAACTTACCTTTTTCCAGCGCTGGGCGGGGAGCTCTCCTCCTTCTCTCCTCCTCCGTTCCTCCTCCTGGGCTGGCTGCGCGCGCATTCAGCCCTTCGCATAGGAAAGCATTTACAATGCTTTCCTATGGACGCTGGCGTGCTCTCACTGTGAAAATCACAGTGAGAAGCACGCAAGCGCCTCTAGTGGCAGTCAATGAGACAGCCACTAGAGGATTAGGGGGAAGGCTTAACCCATTCATAAACATAGCAGTTTCTCTGAAACTGCTATGTTTATAAAAAAATGGGTTAACCCTAGAAGGACCTGGCACCCAGACCACTTCATTAAGCTGAAGTGGTCTGGGTGCCTAGAGTGGTCCTTTAAGATTTACAAATTAATATGGCTTCAAAGTTTTTTGCTTTCTTCCAATTCACCTGCAGAAACAGTCTCTTTCCCCAGAACCTAGGATTACTGTTTGAAGGTATGAATGTGGAGAAAAACCTATGAAATGCATGTAACTCCTTAAGGACACGTGACATGTCATGATTTCCTTTTATTCCAGAAGTTTGGTCCATAAGGGGTTAAAGGGAAGCTCTAGTGCCAGGAAAACACAGTTTTTTTCCTGGCACTATAGCATCCCCCCCGCACCTGAGCTGAAGTGGTCTGGATGCGTGTAGGGTCCCTTTAACCTGTGTTGGAGCCGTGAGTGTGCCTTTAAGAGCTTTCACAACACAAAATATTATATACTAGAGAGACCTAGAAATTACTTTCCACTGCACACTCAATAGGAGAGCATCGGAGAGTAGAAATGTAATTCTATTGAGTGTGCCATGCACCCTCCAAACTTGCAGTAGAAAGCAACTTTTAGGCCTTTGTAGTGCTGTAGGACTTCAAATATTGCGTTCTTTCGTAGAGTATAATCATATAGGGAGAAAGTTAGATAGATGTATTTTAATAACCATTCCAGAGATACCTGCTCGTTTATACCATCATGACTTATTGACAGGCTTCCTTTCAACTAACAATCTTAAAAAAAAAAAAAAATAATAGATTACAGTGGTAGCCAAAGAGACATAATTCCCACTATACAGAAAGCACAAGCTAAGATAGTGGACAACTCACAATGATGGTTCCTAACTATGTATGCAGGTTCTATGCACAAATAAGTGTGTGGGGGTCTTTAGGAATATATACCATAGTGGGTCCCCACTGAAAGTTTTAACATTTGCATGTGAGGTACCCCAAAGGCAGTCCTCCAGCGCATTAAGACAACCAGACACAGAGATAAATGTTAAAAACACAACATAAATTAAACAAGCAAACAGAAAAAAAACAACCCATCAATATAACTGCTAAAAGCATAGATAAGCTGGCAATATATTGTAATATAGGCACTGTGTAAAATTAAACACCGAAGGTTTCCACATAAAGTACAGTGTTTCCATTGAAAACCATCGTACACACGATGTATATTTCAATCACGCTACATTTGTCCACTGCCAATCGCTATCAGAAGGAATTCACACCAAAAATTTCCATGGTATAGCTGTCACATTGATAAACATACAAATAATAAAAAAAATAAAAAAGATAATACGAATAAATTACATTCTCTGAGACTCGATATGGGGGGGGAACCACAATCTGTTATCATATATTCTGTCTATATGTCCAGGGTAACCATAGTTTGGCCACATCTCTAGTGCCAAAAAAGGGGTTTGATTGCATCCTGTACTGATAATCTATTTGCTCCATAATATTGTGCCATATTAATTGGATAGAAGATTTCCAAGCCCTAGCTATACATATTTTAATGGCAAAAAAATATATGGGTCAAAAGATATTTTTGATATTTATCTTGCGAAGGGAAACCAATGTTAAAGAGAAAAAGTTGAGGGTTAATTTCTTTTATCTCCTTAAAAATAGAATTAATAAGGCCAAGCATTTGAATTTTTATATTATTAAGACCCTGACACTCCCACCATATATGATAAAGAGTGCCCTCCTCATTTCCACATCTCCAACAATTCTTAGAATGTACAGATGATATTTTATATAGTATAGCCGGTACCATATACCACCTATATATTATCTTTAAATGTGTTTCATAGAGAGAGACGCTATGTATACAGCGCTTAACTAGGAATGTAGCTTTGGTCCATTCCAGAAGTGGAAAGGATCCCCCAATATCTTGTTCCCATTTAACAAAAGAGGTAGCATGAGAGTCTTGTTCCATTGATTCTAGCAATTTAATAAATCTAGAAATCCCTCCCTTCTTTTTATATAATACAATAAGCGGATTAACGTTGTGGTCCTTAAGTATAGTCCGAGATAGTAAAAAATTCTTAATCCTTAGATATTGAAAAAGATCTCTAGGGGAAAGATTATACTTTTCTTGCAATTGTATAAATGGGATGGATTTAAATCCATCCCATAAATCCGAGATCTTCACTAGGCCTAGGTGTGTCCATGAAAATTTATATTATCCATTATGTGTTGTAGGACCACTAATGGAACCCTATATAATAATTTATCTTCTAGCTTTAATTTTTTATTTAGGATTTTGGAGGTATTGATCATATCTATCAATATACGGTTCGAAAAATACTTGGTATCCAGTTCACCCAAATTCAACATACCCATCCAAAAAAGAATGAACAATTTATATCTAGGGCTATCCTCCTGTTCTAGAGTAAGCCATGATTTATATCCCTGTTCCTTGATTAGCCACTGTAGAAGATGAGTCGCCATACATGCTTCATGGATTTTATCAACATCTGAAAAAGCTATTCCACCCTTCTGATAGCTCCTTCGAAGAGTGTCAAAAGCTATCCTAGGTGGTTTATTTGCCCAAATACATTTGGAAATCAGAGTTTGAAAACGGTTAAGAATACCTTTCCCCAGTCTATAAGGAATTGCCCTAAGATAGTATACAAGTTTAGGTATCAGATTTGTCTATCAGTTGTTGCAGATCTCCTAATATTTTATGATAGTTTGTTTGTATCATCCTCTCTATATCAAAGGATATTTTAATCCCCACATAGCCAATAGTATCTTTGCCCATAAGAGTTGGAAATGTGCAGTCAGAAGATCTTTCTGAGCCTCAGGTAAAAAAAAAAAAGAGGCTAAAATTTGTTTTTTTTTTCATATTGACCTTATAGTTGGAGAAACTACTATAGATGGATATAGCATCCAATACTGATGGAATTGAAACCATCGGATCCGTCAGGATAAGGAGGACATCGTCTGCGAAAAGGGAAACCTTGGTTTCCCCATTGAGAGACTTGACCCCCTTTACATTAGTATCCTGTCTGATCAAGGTGGCCAAAGGTTCAATTGTAAGAATATATAACAGGGGAGCCAAAGGGCAACCCTGTCTAGTACCATTTTTGACCTCAAAATGGTCAGACTCAACAAAAGGGTTAATTATTTTAGCTGTAGAACTCCTATATAACAACATAGTTTTAGGTCTAAACTGACCCTCTAAGCCAAATTGGCCCATGACAGAGTCCAGGAATCTCCAATTGACTCTGTCAAAGGCCTTCTCAGCATCAAGGGCCATAATAACAGATCCCCATTTATGCTTACTTATTCTATGTATTAAGTTAAATATCCTACGTGTATTATCTGTAGTACCTCTCCCTTGCACAAATCCAGACTGATCAACGTCAATCAGTTCTCCAATTACCTCTTTAAGTCGATTGGACAATATTTGAGAGAATATCTTTATATCTAAATTAATGAGAGATATAGGTCTATAGTTAGTAATAAGTGTTGGGTCTTTCCCTACTTTGGGCATAGGAATGATTGAAGCCAATAACATCTCATTAGGGAAGGGGGTATCCGCGGACGCCTTCGTAAACATCTCTAAAAGGATAGGGGAAATGAGTCTAGAAAAAGTTTTATAGACCATTGTTGAAAAGCCATCTGGGCCTGGAGCCTTATTCAATGTTAACTTATCTATTGCTTCTGTTACTTCTGATAATAAGAATGGGGCATTCAGCATTTCCAACTTCCTTTGGTTAATTTTTGGTAATTTAAGGTTACTCAAAAATGTATCCATTTCTTCTCTACTCTTCCCTACCTCCTCTAGGTTATATAAGGATATGTAAAATTCCGCAAATGCATTTACAATATCATTTGGTGACACTAAATGTTTATCACCTAAGACAATTTTTTTTATAGATTTATCTTTGAGGTTATTTTTTATTTTATTAGAAAGGTCTTTATTTATTTTGTTATTGTTATGGTACCATCTTTGTTTAGAGTTTGGATATTTTTATTGACCATATCATAAATTCTATCTTTGATAGTTTCCCTTAATTTAGCTATTTCTTCAATTAAGTCTTTATTCACCATATTTTTATTTAGACGTTCCTTATTTGCCAATTTTATTCTTAACTCTTGCAGAGATTCTCCCTTCTTCCTTTTAGATTCAGAGCCAAGTTTAATTAATAGTCCCCTTATATAGCTTTTAAGGGTACACCAGACCATTACCGTAGAAACTTCCCCATTATCATTGGTAATCAAAAAGTTTTCAATTTCAGATGACAAAAAAAAAAAATCTATGTTGCACTCTGATTTCAAGAGGCTTTCGTTAAGTCTCCACCTTGTCCTTGGTCTAAGACCACCTTTTAACTTAACCTTAATGAATACTGGTGCATGATCTGATACAACTATGGATCCAATATTGGATTTAATAATAGAACTCAAAAACCCAGCTTTCACCAAAAACATATCTATTCGAGAATAGGTCTGATGGACATGTGAAAAAAAAGTACTCTCTCTCATTAGGATTCAAAGTCCTCCAACAGTCAAATAGAGAATTCCTATCTAGAAATTTAGAAAAATCAGAAACATAGGTATTTACAGATTTATAATCTCTAACATTTTTATGGCTTTTATCCCGTGTTGGGTCCAATACACAATTAAAGTCTCCCCCAATTATGATGGTACCACATGCTAATTCATCAACCTTTTCCATAGTTTTATCCAAAAAGTACCCTGGGCACGAATTTGGTGCATAAATATTAACCAAAGTATATAGAATACCATAAATTTTTGCGATGAGTATCACATATCTTCCCATTGGATCCCCAGTTAGATGTATCATTTCAAAATTAATTCTGCTAGAGATTATGATAGCAGTGCCTCTTTTTTTTTTTTTATTCCCCTCCATATTAGAAGAAAATATCAACGGGAATTTCTTAAACTTCCAGAGTCTCTCTGGGGGATTAATCCAGTGTGTCTCCTGAATAAAAGCAATATCAATATAATTTCCATTTAGAAATTTATAGACCGCTCCCCTTTTCTGTGGTGAATTCAAACCCTGGACATTCCATGATATCACATTAAGTGCCATCATAACACCTATTTTCCTGATTACACCCCGAATCGAGTCTCAGAAAAGTAAAAATAATTCAAGAAGGATTTATGAATTCCCCTTGTTTATTCCAATGGAGATATTGACAAAACCTGGACTGTTGGGGTGCCATGAGGACTGGTTTGGAAATCACTGCTGTAAATTATTCCAGGTTGAGGGAAAATCCTTTAGGTTGACGGAAGATGAATCTGGATGAACAGGACCCTGATGGAGGGATGGAATTCTTGGGAGATCCCATGCAGAGGCTCAGAAGAAGGGGAAACCATAGCCTGCGAGGCCAATATGTAGCTATTAGGATAATGGATACTGGTTCCTGCCTTAAGAGCAGATGAGTGAGTGAAAATTCAAATCTCAGGCTAAATTGCAATTTGCACGACAGAGCGTCTTTTCCTAGAGCTTGTGTATCAATACTTCTTGAGTAGAACCTGTGGACTTTCCTGTTGCTGCAAGTTACCATTAGATCCACCTGAGGAATGCCGCATCTCTCTACGGTTATCTTCAGACTTCATCCAATAGGCACCATTCCCCTGGATTTATCACCACTCAGCTGATAAAATCCACTACCATGTTCTGTATTTCTAGAAGATAAATTGCTACCAGAACCGAAAGGTGCAGTTGTGCCCAGGACATCAGAGGTTTAATAACCTCATAATTTTGTGATTTTAAATCATGATTGATACATGCCATAACAGTGGCATTGGCAGTTCTGAATTTCACCAAACTTGTATAGTAGCTGATTTTGAAAATGCTTTAGGGTTCTGATGACAGCCAGCAGCTTCAGAAGATATGAAGGGGTATTGTTTGCAGATATTGTCCACTTCCATTGTACATAATTCTGAAGATACGCTGGCCAACCCCAGTGACTGGCCACCACAGTCTAAGAGAACTCTGGAACAAGAATTTCTTTTGTAACCACCATGTCAAGAATTGATGAACATGGAATCGAATCCAGATAGGCTGAAGAAGATTCCCTGACCTGAACTAGCACAGGAAATTTTTTTGAAAGGTCCTCATCCTCAATTGCCCCCACCTTGTCAGTCCTATGGTGGAAGACACGGAACCCAAAAGGATTTCTCTGACAACCAACATTCCTTTGACCTGCGTAATAAGTCTTTTTACACTCTCTAGCAAGAGGAGAACGGTGTTGAAAAGGACTCCCAGATATTACATGGCCTGGGAAGTTCGTGCTACTGCAGGAACTGAATGCCAAACCGTCCATGGTCTTTTAGAGTATTCTTTTTTTCTGCCAGGACCAAGATATTGTTCAAATAGTGAAAGTTGGCAGAGCCTTTTTTTCTTAAATCTGCTATAATAACCACAAAGATTTGGGAAAAAGTTTAAGGTGCTGTGTTGAGACCAGAAGGAAAGCCTCTGAATTTGAAATTCCCTTCCTCTAAGGAATTTCTGAGAAACATTTGATGTTGAGGAGCAATTGGAACATGAATATGTCTTGTAAATCTACAGAAAATACTGATTTTGTGATGAATTTTAGATTCCATCTTGAACTTGCAAATGTTTAGGAATCCATTAAGTCTGTGGAGATCCAGGATAAGTGTCCATTCCACTGAAACCTTTTTGGTGTAAAATAATAGGTTTGTACATTCTGCATTTGGGACCTTTACAAGGACCCTTTCTTTTTGATGCAAAGCGTCTTTTTCTTTGTCCCCTGGCCATTAGGTCATCTGAAAGGTCTGCAGAACGCTAGTAGATATCGTCTTTGTAGAATATAATCTTTTATTATTATTATTGGAATTTATATAGCGCCAACAGATTCCGTAGCGCTTTAGAGTTTTATAAAAGGAGGTGATTAAAAAAAATAAAAATAATTACAAGAAACTTACAGGAATGATAGTTTGAAGAGGACCCTGCTCCGACGAGCTTACAGTCTATAGGAGGTTGGGTAAAAAACACAATATGGCAGGAGATGGCAATCAAAAAGGGTGGGAGTGAAGCAGAGCTGGAGGAGAGAGCAAGGGACAGGTATGTGAGGTAGAGGTTACTCTGGGATGCCATAAACTTTCTGGAAGAGAGGTTTTAAGGCACTTCTTGAAAGATTGAAGACTAGGGGTCAGTCTGATGGTAGGTAGGCTATTTCATAAGTAGGGAGCCGCCCGTGAGAAGTCCTGCAAGCGCGAGTTGGCTGTATGGGCAAAGCAGAGAGACTGAGAAGAGGCATACCTATGAATCAGTGAAGAGATGTGGGAGAGCTAGAATTGTTCAATGCTTTATAGGTATGGATTAGTACTTTGAATTGACTCCTATTGGATACAGAAAGCAAATTTAAGGACTGAGAGCGGTGAGATGACCAATTGGAGAGGAAAATCAGTCTGGCGTCAGCATTCATTACAGACTGTACGGGGCAATATGGCTTTTGGGAAGACCAATTAGGAGAGGGTTACAAAAATCCATGCGAGAGATTACTAGAGCATGGACAAGGTCATTAGTAGTATTTTGTGTAAGAAAGGGGCGGATGCAGGCTGTGTTTTTGGTGGAATCTACAGGATTTGGTAACAGACTGGATGTAAGGCTCAAAGGTGAGGCTAGAATCAAGTATAACACTAAAACAGCGTGCTTGCAAGGATGGATTGATGTGGGTACCACTAAATTGAAGGGAGCGCAAAAGGAGGAGGATCAGTATTAGGAAGAGGAAAGACAAGGAGCTCAGTTTTAGAGAGATTGAGTTTCAGAAAGCGGGAGGACGAAAGATACAAGAAAGTCAGAGGCAAGAAAGGCAAGCAGTTACACGTTGCAGGACAGCAGGGGAGAGGTCCGGGGAGGAGAGATATATCTGAGGGTCATCAGCGTACAGGTGGTAGTGGAATCGAAATGAGGTAATAAGTTTGCCAAGAAAGGTAGTATAAAGAGAAAATAGAAGGGGACCAAGGACAGAGCGAAAAAGGAAGCAGGGATATATGATGATAGAAGGAGAGGACGGGTCAAGAGATGATTTTTTTCAGGATCAGTACTACAGTGGCAATGTTTAAGGGCAGCAGGGACAATGCCAGAAGAGAGAGAGCAGCTGAAAATGTGTGTTAAGGAAGGCACAAGACAAGGGGAAAGATCTGATAATGTGAGATGGGACAGGATCAAGTATTTTAAAAGTCCTGGAAACCAAGGTAAGTGCTACAGCAGCATGAACACATGTGCCAGCTGTCACATAAGCTTTAGAGCGTTTCAAATCCATTCTTTTCTAAATGGAGTCTCTTAGAAAACCTGTTGTCCACTGGCAAAGTGGTGCATTTAGCTAGTCTTAAAACTACAGCGTCTACTTTATGAGTAAAATCCCAGGAACAAGCATCTGCATTTTCAAATAAATAAAGACGTGAAATTCTCCCTAGAGCTTAAAGTTTTTGTTCTCCGTTTTAGACCATTCTTCCATGATAAGATTTTTAATGGTGTCATGAACAGGAAATGTCACTCTTTCCTGAGATCGAAAAATAGCGAGTATAACGTTCCTCCTTTGATATTCAGAGGCCGTAAGTCCCTAAGCATGAAGGAATCTTTAAATGATCCATGTAAGCTGGCTCTAGTGAATCAGAAGTGGCTGAATATCTTCTTCTGAAGAAGAGTCCTTATCTCTGTATGTATAAATTTCCATGGATTCATCTGATGATTCATCCGGTGCAAGGCAAGAGGATTTGGATAACTTTGCCTATATACTTACCAAACCGCAGAAGAAACTGAAGATAAAGCGGTTTCAAATTAGGATAGAATTTGTACCAAAATGCTTCTTAAGGGTTAAGAATTAAACCTAGAAGGGGGTTGAGGGGGGCTTTTAAAAAGGATACCTGCACGTCAAATGAAAATCCATCGGATTTGGAATGTAATTTTCAAATGCTCATGCGTGGATCAGAATGTCTGTGCATGCACAAAAACGGCATGTTGCTACTTTTCAGTTTGCACGTGCTTTCGCCACATACAAACGTCTGTACATACATACATACATACACACACACACAGACTGCTGTGTGCACACACACAGGATGCAGAGTACACATACACACACACAGACCTGTTCAAGACACAGCTCCTACTGCCATGCCTCCATCTCCTTGACCTGCAGCATCTGCTCCTCCCATTCAGGCTATCAGTGGAGAGGGCAAGGACAAGCTGCGACATCCCATCTCAGCCCTCTCCACAGAGCCAAGCACCAATGAGTTTTCTTAGTACGGCCTAAGAGCACTGCACACCCTGGTGGCTGGTGCCGATAGTGCAGAACATTCTCTTCAAAGAAAAATACCGGCAATTGTATGGACTGTATTTTTGCATTACCGGCACCTGCCACAGAGCATCAAATACCGGCTGTGCCGGTAAAATGACGGCCAGATGGCAACCCTACATAAATTCCTTTTTCCTTAGTATAGTGGCAGTACTACAAACAAGTGGGTTATGCCTTCTGGAATGGACAAGAAGCTCCCCCCCCAAATTTTTATATTTAATTGCCTGCTGCCCTTATAATCCCTGTATCTCCAAGTTTCCCCAGTCATTAAAAGAGTCAAACGGAGACCATAAACGGCGATATAATTTTATACATACAAAAACAAGGAGGGAAATGGCAGTACTGCCACTAGACTTAGGAAAAAGGAATTTACGGAAAGTAAAATTACTGTTTTTCCTCTCGTATAGGGGGGATATGATAGAAACATTTAAATATATAAAGGGAATCAACACAGTAAAGGAGGAGACTATATTTAAAAGAAGAAAAACTACCACAACAAGAGGACATAGTCTTAAATTAGAGGGACAAAGGTTTAAAAATAATATCAGGAAGTATTACTTTACTGAGAGGGTAGTGGATGCATGGAATAGCCTTCCAGCTGAAGTGGTAGAGGTTAACACAGTAAAGGAGTTTAAGCATGCGTGGGATAGGCATAAGGCTATCCTAACTATAAGATAAGGCTAGGGACTAATGAAAGTATTTAGAAAATTGGGCAGACTAGATGGGCCGAATGGTTCTTATCTGCCGTCACATTCTATGTATAGTGGCAGTACTGCAAACAAGTGGGATATAGCAAGATACCTGCAACAAAATAGGGTGGGAATTAAGTAGGCCACTACCTGAAGCACCTTTCGCCAAAACCAGCTTCAGAGGAAGAGAATATAGCCAGCCTGTATTGCTTAATGAAGGTATGGAATGAAGAACGAGTAGCCACCTTACAGATGTCTTCTGGAGAAGCTGTAGATCTTTCTGCCCAGGAAGTAGCAATCGGCCTAGTGTACTGTGCTTTTATTGGAAGACTGAGAGGAACACAACGTGTTTCATAAGCCAGCTTAATAGCTTCTGTTAGCCACCTGTCGATTGAAGGTCTGGAGGCTTCTCTACCTTTACAAGAGTCTTGAAATGTGACAAAGAGGTGATCTGAGATTCTAAAGTCTTTTGATCTCTGAAGATAGATTTCTAACACTTAACATCTGGAAGATGACATTTTCTTTCTGCCTCTGAAGACAGACTGGCAAAAAGAAGGAAAAACAATAGGATGGCCCATAGATTTCCTTTAAATAACTTGAG